TGGACGAAAAGGGACAAGCGCGATACATATTTACCAGCGACGCCGCCATCGCTCTCCCCGCCTCGGCTGTAAAGGCGGCGAAGGCCTCGCGCCCCACGCCGCACAGCTCCACTCCACCCACCCCACGCCACGCCTCCCCCTAGGGCTCTACCCCGCGCCACGGCACACTGCTCCACCCCACCTAGCCACACGGCTTAACTCCACCCATCCCATGGTTCACGGCCCACCGAGAAACATTTGTGGTTGAACATTCGTTTTAAAATCAATGATTAAATTGCTGTGAATGATGAATAATACTTGTGCAATACCGTTTATAATAATGTGATACTAAAATAGAGGTGGGATCTTTGCCGTCTCCTTCAAGATCCGCCACTGATGATAATTCATCATATCAATAAATTGTAATTAGTAAAATTCTAATCGGATATACATATAAAACATCACCGGACGGCAAAGAATCTGCGAAGACTCTGTATTGTGGAACAATTATTTTATAGTGGAAACTGCTACCCACGCCACGCCGCACCCCACACGCCACATCGCCACCCGCCTCATGCTACAAAGCCCCACTCTTCGTCTCCCATGCCACGCTGCTCTATTCCATTCTCCTCACACCACGCTCTATCGCTCCAACCCACGCCTCGCCACACTACTGCACTCTATTCTACAGAGCTACTCCCCACCCTTCCCAACCCACGGCACACCGCTGGTCCTCAACCCAGCCACGCTGCTTTACTTCACCCACCCCGTGCCACGCTCCTTCACTGCACCCCACGCCGCATCACACCGCTCTACTCTTCCCACCCCAAGACTCATAGCTCCACCCCACTTCACACTGCTTTATCACACTTCACACTGCTCAACCGACATCACGTGCACCGCTCCACCTCACATCAAATCGTTCCACCCTATGCTACACAGCTCCACACCACTCCACTTCATACCATACCGCACCGCTACACCCTACGCCATGCCACACCACTCTTCTCTAACTACCCCACGCCCAAACCACCTCCGCTCGTCATTCAGCTCCACCCTGCGCAACACATCTTCATCACACCCCACCCACGTCACACCGCTCAACTCTACATCGCTCAACTCCACCTGACCTCATGCCACACCACTGCTACACTGTGCCACCAATGCCATGCCAGTCCACGCGTATTCAGCCACTGCCTTCTGTATTTATTGTATCTCATGGAGAAGTGATGTACTAACTCCACCGCATAAATAGTGTACTCTCGCGTTGCTGACTTTTTCCTTGCATATCTGGATACCGGACTTCAAATTTTCACCTCACTTTATTCACCACAGCTTGGTACCCTCGCGATTGTCCTGTTTCCGCTGCTTTTCACCTCCTCCCCTTTCACATAAATCCTTTTACCCTGTTATTACAACTCGCATCAACTACTAGACAACAGTTACAATACTCCTCATTTTTACTGCGGATAATCTATATTGCATATCTGACACATAGAATATCACTTAAATACCAATTATCTCTTAGTGGCATTATCTTGGTTGCGTCATTCCCTGGCTACGCGAAAACGATATCTGATTATGACACGAATTGCCGGGGATTTAATTTTGTTGGACATTTATCCAATGTCTTTCATGTGTTACGAGCGTGACAAGGCACATTAAGAATACTCCACCCTTCGAAAATCCTTCGCTCCAGTCAGATATCAACTTTTGAACATGGAGTTTGGAGGGACGTGTAAAATTCCCATACCACCGCGACCAGCAGAATATATACAAAACGCTTAAGAAATATTACTATTTTGTTCCAATTTTAAGAAACCATCGACTCAAAACCTCGTACTACCGTGCTCTTAGTCCTGCATCAAGCAGATTTCGGACAAAGAAATAGAAGTTTGCAGATTGTGCTATAGGGGAAAACCGACGCTGCCTCAAGCGTTACGTTGCAACACATTTTACCATCGAGAATAACTCTGAAATGATTCGCCTTAGTCTCTTAAAACTGCGTGTTCACGTCGGACGCGAGTTATATTTCGTATGATGAAATCTACAAAATGAAATATTCTTGGACATTTTGTTATATCTTCGGATTGTCAGAAACGTTCCAATACAAATTATTTTTCATTTAAAACTTTAAAGATTTTCAAAGTGTGGAGTGTTCCCACGGATCCGATAGTATTAATTATCGAGAGCAACGTCGAAACGGCAATGGAGAACAAACATCTACATAAATACTCAATGAATCTACACAAACAAACAAGAAAGCAATCAAGTAATGAAAATAAGTATTCAGATCTAAGTTCGGTTTCAAGGGTACTTAAAACGTAAGCACCTGCAAAACTTCTTTCATTGATTTTTCTTCCTACTACACTTTTACCTCCTGGAGGACGTTAAAGGCGCAGCTCTCGCGCATGCAAGGGTTAATTCGAGAGCGATTCAACATCCGGCGACTTCTCGCCAGCAATGAGACCCGCATAGATAACACCATAAAATCAACACGAGGGTTTCCATTTGGATTTATCGCTCTATCAAACATACTCAAGTCCAGTTAGAGGCGAAATGTTTGAGGTGGAAGTGGTCATCTCCCAAATTGTTTGTATTTGTTTGATCTGACGGAAGTGAGACCAAGAATTTATTGATATTAAGAATTTAATTATAAACAAATAATGATAACTAATAATAACACATTATTTATTTTCACATAAGTTAAAAAATACAGCAGATGCATCCGAATGAGCATGTGCTAGTGCCTGGGTGCAGTTAAAGCTTATAACGACAACAAAAACCGAGATACGGTTCAAAGATAACATAATTTATAAACAAGTAACAATTTTACAAAATAGTATCCATATTATTGTATTCAGTACTAAAAGCTTTTCGAATATTTCCAGATATGCTGATCTACCCTGGTTTCCTCAGGCTTGAAATAACTATAAGCGTTATCATTGCCAACAATATCATTTATTAAAAGAGTAGTTCTCGATGGCTAAGCCACCATCACCAGTTTATTGGTTCAAGAAATACAGATGAAAACATCAAGTTCAATGGCTTACACACACACACAAAATTTGTCAGACCGAAATACATGTCGCATGTTTTTCTTTGTAACTTAACAGGTTGAATTGGTTGAAGGTTAACAGGTTGAAGCCAAAATTGCACCATCACCCTCCAGTTTTTTCAAATAGCAAAAACACGCTAAAATTTAATCTTAAATTAAAATCTACAATTTCACGGTGGTTTTTAGCGATTTAAAACAAATTGGAGGGGGAGGGGCGAAATTCTGGCTTCAGATTCGGATTCAACGCGTCAAAGTACACAGAGAAACATGTGTCAAGTTTTTGAGTCTGGCAACTTTTTTTATTTTGTGTGTCTGTGTAGTTTACTAATGCATGGTTAATTAAGAGTTCATGATATACAATATATAACTTCATAACATGGCTGGTTTCTATACCATGGTGTCTTGGCCCAATTCAATAAATTTTCATAATTTTTAAAAATCTCAGACTGATTTTTGTATTTTGATGTTTATGTAAATACCTGATGATGAGGAAAAAGTATGTCATCGAAACTGTTGCATAATTAAACTAATACAACCTTTACATATAGGCCTACCTTATATATTTATATAGATAGTTACCTCCAATAGTTAAGGAAGGTCTGTTCTAAATATGAACGTGAATACATAATTTTAAAATAGAATTAACATCTTAAGAAATGAAAGAAAAGGGGGCGTAGTTGTCTTTGGCGAATTATATTTGTGTCGAAGACGTCGATTTCCCAAACTTCGGACGAGTAGTTTGAAAAAATTAACTCAACCTATTGAAGGCAACACTGATTGAATAGGGTTCTGGGTGAAGGTACGTTTAATTACGACAGAAAACTTTGTTTTGTTGGAAATTCTCTAGAACAAGATTAAGTTTCTGGTACGGATTCCTGAGAACTTTCCATTCAAAGAAACGTTGTAATACTTAAGATTTAAACCTCGGTGAAACTTGAATTGGTCCTTTTATAGTAATGTTGAAGTTGCAATTACGAATCTAAACTTTTCATTTCTAAAATAAATAAAATTTGGTTGAAATGATTTGATTTTCTCCTATTGGAATCAATCAATGAAATGGGATGTGGAAACAACCGCAATTACGAGTATATTGCCGAATATCCCGGTCAAGATTTTGTTGACAAAGCACTATCCTATTGAAATGTCGGGTTGATAACTGAAAAGATTTACTGAGTGCCCGCAGTTACATGATTACTTTTGTTGTTAATATACTAAAAAACCTTCCTTCATATGACAATTTTCGATTTAAACTATTTTAGGAGAAGCTGCAAGTCACCAAGCAACATCAAACATAAGTGCCAACTAAAATTTCACTGTAACGTCGTTTCGTTGTTTTACAAAAATGGCTAAATCCAAAAATTGTTGAGGATCCGACTAGTAGAATGACGGTTCGTCGAATAGCGGAGTTGTAGCTGTGGGAATAAGTTGCTTACTCTTTCCTGGCGTCTAACTTCCAGTGCCTACCTATCTCGCAGCATGCCCATCTTTTGAGGCACAAAGAACGCAAATGCACCTTACACATCGACTTCTCGGAACTGGGAGAGCAAACATGCCGAATTCCACAAGTGTGGAGTCATCTTTGCTCGAACAGTCGACAAAGCGTCACATCTGTCATTTGCCACTTCCAATCGCCGCCACCCTGCCGGACGCACCTCGCTTGACGCATGCGTTATACGTTCCATTTTACAGTGATTCCTGAAATCATGAAACCGTAGTGTTAGGTGGGACAGCGAGGAAAAAGGAAGAGGAAGGTGAAAGGGGAATAAGGAGGATAAGAAGAAAACGGAAAATATCAAACAAAAGAACCCAGAAAAGAAGACGAAAACAGAATAAGAAAGAAAAGACGATAATGGAGAAGAAAGAGAAATATAGAACCATTTATTTAGCTTGGTGCTGTGTGCTCTCTTCATGTAATGAATCATGAAATCTGTAAGGAACCTCTTACAACCGAAGCCCGAAAGCTAATCTCACTATTAAGTTCATTTCAGTCGTATTGCAGTCACTCGACATCAGTGTCCGGCATTTTAAATCTTCATTGACTGATTGAGTGGTTGTTAGTGATTTCGTTAACGTCAACTACTGAGAACATTAGTCTCGTAAGTGTAATGCAAGTTTTTGCTCAGCACGTGGCAGTGGTCTTCCCCGCAGTTGTGAGATCCGGCGCCGACTACCTGTCGGCTAGCGGGGGTTTTCCCAATCAGATATCTCCCATTAGCGGGGCACCGTCCCAACCAGGAAAAGCTCTATGCTCCCGACTGGTCTCTCAGCATGTGTGGTACTTTAGTGTAAGTGTGTGTAAAAGGTGAGGCCAGGGCAAGGAAGAGGTAGGGAAGATGGCGCGCGATCCGCGGCCCGTTTGTTAGGGTATTGTTCCGACATTTGACCGGTGTTCATCGGTGAAACCACGAAAAACTACTGATCAGAGCAGTCGGCCTCTAGAATTCACCTCCACACAGCGACTGAATTCGACCTAGCTGACAAGCTAGTGTTGAAAAACCTGCCACCGCCGGGACTCTAGGACCTCCTGGTCAGAGAGACTGCAATGACCAGTTGAAGCCTCGAGCCATCTCTCCTGATTTTGAAATCTTAACTTTTCTTTCGGGATACGAGAAAACTAACAGTTTCGGCGAGTCATCCCCCCCCCCCTGACAGAACCAGCTTGCGCACTCAGAAGCTCCGCACCTCAGCACCGAGTCACTCCTCCCCCCCCCGCGGGGGGCCGAGGGGCACGAAGAAAAATCGCGGAGAGCGCGTTCGCAGCCGCCCGCGCCGCTGGGCA